CAAATACTCCCTGCTCGCGCAATCACTCCCTGCTCGCGCAATCACTATGGCTTCCGCATTTGGAGATCGACAGGCGTTTATGGATTTCTTAGGACCTAAAGATACAAGCGTAACTGAACAGACGAAGAAGAATCGCGCACAGAAAAATCTCTTGGCCCGAATAGTTTCTCTTGATAGCCGTCCTATCAGAGTTAGAGATCCTAAAAGGAACCAGAATCCAGGCGATTTCGAAATAACGTGGAACGACCTGCAGGAAACGACTGTAAAGGGCAGTTTTGATGACTGGTGGGATCATCTTATAAAGAAAGAATCTCTATCGGGCGTAGAGAAGGATGCCATTCTACTGGGTGAAGCATTTGAAGATAAAGGGCTGGCTTGGAGGTTCCATCGATTTCCAAAAATCGATGGAATCATAAAACATGCCTCTAACTACTCAGTCCTACTTAGGGTCGTTATAGGGTGGGACCCAGACACAAAAGGTCGCTCCGAGCAAGGACATGCTCCCATCAGCAGACTCAGAGAAGATCAGCCAGCCCGTGAGGGACCAGCCGATGTGTGCAGCAATCCCGTTAGCAATGTCTTGGGAAAGCATACAGAAGACGGGGAAAGTCCAGCGAAGAAACGAATCTGTCTGCGACCTGAACGACCAAACACAACCCATGCCAACGAGATTGAGATTATACCGACAGAGAACACACCAGCTTCCGGACCTAGCCAAAAGCCATGCATGCCTACAAGCTCTGGACAAAAGATCGATATTACCAAAGTTACTGCTCCCACAATATCAAGTTTCAAGTTCTGTAAACTAATATGGAACGCTCAAACTGAAGCGTCGAGCGGTTTATCTTTGATGTTCCAGTATTGTGGTCAGTCCACTTGCGGTAAGACGGGTGATTGTGTTGTGGAGTACCTTTGGTCGGGATATTCGGCTATCGACTTTATAAAATCCACGAAACATGAACTAGAGGAAGACGAAGTGACTTGGTATTACAAAATCCTTCCAGATTGGATAGATCGACTGCCATTCGAGGACCTCACAGACAGCATCAAGCGCAGCAAAACCTGGGAGCAACGGCAGGATGACAAGTGGCCAGGATGTCTTAATTTTCAACTGGAAAAGTCGCATGTATATCAGCTGAGTGGAAGCTCACCCTCCCCTCTTTCTGCCCGCATAAAATGCACAATTTCCTCGGCAGACGCTCCGGAAAAAAGATTATTTCCGCAATATTAGTAACAGCCGTTAAGCAATAGAGTCTAATACAATAATGGGTGCACTGTAAAATTGGAGAAAAAAGGTATATTAACGTAAACACAATTGCAAACAAATCGCTGTCGAGCCATGGCAGCGGTAAGCAGACTTATGTACTCAGAAATGACAGGTTCAAAGCTGTGTGTTAGGTCTTCGGTTTGCTAATAGTATAGTCTTCTAGGGACCTTAACCGATCGCCTAGGCGCACATAAAACGACTGGTTCTTTCTGTAACCTTGCATGGGTTCGGGGCCTGTCATAGGCTTCAGATACACAATACCCTTCACCACTTTGATCGTGTAATTGCCATCAGCTTGCCACACGTCATCCTTGGTCAATGAAATTTCCTCCATGCCTCTTAAACTATTGCAATGGCTCCTTGAGTTGGATTGAATGTGTATTGTTTTTACGCTAGTTGTTGCGGATGCATTGATGCTGTTGTAAACACCCGGATCGATTGGGTGACGGAGTTGCTCAAGGCGAGTACGTAGATTTCCAGGCAGCTAAGACATTGTCAATACAAGATCCATAAACAAATAGAAGCCCACCTCGGCCCAATATCTATTTCCAGAGGTTTACCTTTCAGTTTCGAAGTATTGTAGCCAATGGACCCCCACAATACATATATACACTCACAAGCTGTTGGGTGTATTTGGCGTTTTCGGGATGATTTGGAATGTTGTAGGGGGCGAAACAAGTGCAAAAAAAACTCGTAAAAGAGGAAGCGTAAAAGGTGAAAGGGAATATCGAAACAAAAGGACAGCCCAGCAGTGGTATAGATTGTAGCAAGGCGTACGAGCTGTGCCTGCAAAAACCCTGTCGGAGGACTCTTCGGTGGCGCGTTTTGCACGGACCTAAGCCAAATTAGCACCGTTCAGACCAGCTCGCAGCAGATTAAGAGGATCTTACTCAATGCGCAATCGTAGTTGGCACTTAAGCTTATGTCGCAGTGATGGAGACCTGAGATGATAAAAGTCGGTGCACTTGGGAGAACGAGAGTTGATGATGGCGGGGCACTTGACCAAGGTGCCACACCAAAGTTTTCCGACGATGGTGGGGTCTGCTGACCCGCGACTACCGACCGCAATTCACGAATGTCAGGCACTATAAAACAAGGCAAGGCTACTACACTAGCCTACTATTGCAACTGCACGCATTTTCCTGGCCTTGCTGTACCGTGCTGAGCACTCGCAGTGCTGGTCATCCGCATCTCCATATTGCGAACGCAAGCCACCCGTGGAGAAGTGTGTGCCCCGCGCTAGGCTGGCTTTGGCAGTCCAATCAGGGCGGAGCACGTTCACTACGTACTGGCAGTGCTGATGCGTCGCACGTCTACGATGACTCTCCCGCAGCAAACCGCAAATAGCGTCAAGGCTGTTCCAAGGGTGGCCGGCCAAGGTAACACCAACATTGAAGGGTTGCTGCAGACCGTCCAGAGCGGGTGGTCTTCGTGAACAGTGGGACCCGCCCCTGACACACCGCCGTCAGCCGAGTGCGCCGGATAGGCTGTGTACTTGGTACAGCGTATGACTCACCAAGGCAGGTACGTGGGAAAACATTATCTCATTAATCAGACGCACCCCTGTTGGACTAGCGTTTCGCTTAAACTCCTCCACCAATTAGAGATTGATTACATAAAAGGGTACGCGTCCAACAGCAGAGCGTCTG